AAAACTTGTCAAAAGACGAAACAAAGCTGGAAATTCATAACTTTAGACAAAAGTTTACTTGAGTGAAAATAATTTAAAAATTGTGAATTTTTGAAGTTGATGAGGTCAAAAACTGTCAAATTCAACTATCTGTAAATGTTTTTGTTATAACTTACTTGTTTTTAAAGTTGTTGAAGTCATAAATGTGTCATCTGAAAGTTTAAATACTGTAGAAGAGATTTGATTGGATCATTTCTTTTAACAAAATGGGCTAACATATGATGTATTACAGGTAACAACTGCTCTCAACTTTATTCTTGTACAATGAAGCCTATACTAATTGTTCGCATATCTTTGTTAGAATTAAATAGAGAAAAAAAACAAATAACATTGATGTCTCTTTATTGAAAAATTCGTCATTTTGTATAATAAAAAATATTTCAGATAGCACAAGGCTGAAAGAGATTCTGATGAACCTTGAATAATAGAACCTGTGTAATCTATAAGCTGATCATGTAAGGTTAGCAGTTGCAGACATTCTGCATAATAGCATTGTATGCTGTCGTGATACGCGGTTGGTTTTTTTTTTTATTTCATTATAATCTGTAAATTTTTCAAAAATTCTAACTTGTATTTCAAAATGTTCCACAATTATTGTGCTGTATGTATGGCTGAAGTGTCTGTTTGTTCAGATTTGGAGACTTTATTAATTAGTTATTAATTTTTATTAATGAAAGGTTAAAAGTGGTAAAAAGGTTAAAGTACTAAAGGTTAATTTTCAGCCCACCTGTCAATATGCAAAAGACAACTTTAAGAAAACATCAACCTGGAATTCATGAATTCCACTATGAAATCGAATCCCCCTCCCACCCAAATTATTATTAAATATATCATAAGATATACTTACCCATCCACAGGATTCACTACTATAGCTCTAGGCTCATCAAGACCTTCCACAATCAGAGCTTTTCTCAAGTTTCCTTGCATGTCTGCCACTTCAATAGTGTTCTTTTGTGTGTCTGTCCAATAAATGTGGTTATAAATCCAGTCCATGGCAATTCCGTCAGGAGTACCAATATCATCGTTCACAAGTATTGTTATTGGGCTGCCAGTATTAATGGGGACACTGAAAGTTAAAAAAGATGGTTAAACTGGAAGACAGTCCAGCAAATTCAATAGATAACTTCTCTCTCTCACACTTAATTCATGTGTTGAATACAAGCAAATATAAAACATATTAAACTGACAAATAACACTTACAAGTGGCTATGGTCCACTGAGCACTCTCACAAAGGCAAAAAAGAAAATTCTTACAAATATACATTTTCAGTAATAACAAACTTTGAAAAATTATAATTTTTTGCCATTTCACCTTTCATTAAATGTAATGTATTGTTAAACGAAATATTTTTTCTTTCGAATTAATAGTTTTTGAGCAGTCCATGGATGACAGCCATGTTTAGTTTCTTCAAAACATCAATTTCTTTTTTAAATAGATATTCATTCTAGTAGAATAATAAAACCATCTAATTTAGTTTAGTTTATAACATTTGGGAATTTCATTTAACATCTTCATAAATAATTTAAGTTATGCAAGAAAGTAATAACATATTCAAACACTAATAATGGTTGGAGATGGCTTGAATGGGTAATGAAGAAAAACGTTAATTAAAGTTTAACATAACAGCAAATGTACAACGTTTTGTCATCATCATTGTACCTGATGATGACAAAACCTTGTCGAAACGTTGTACATTTGCTGTTATGTTAAACTTGTATTAAAGTTTTTCTTCATTACCCATTCAAGCCGTCTCTAACCATTATTAGTCTCAAAGTGGGTTCCTTGTCATTGAATATTCAAACACTATTTCACGTCAAAGAACTGAACAAAATGCATCTATACACAGTTTCCTTAAAGTATATCAATAGCAGTTTGTCTCTGAAGAAGAAAGGTCCACCTTTCAAAAATGCTTGGGTTATAGGGTTTTGTATCTTTGTTTTAAGTTGACTCTTGAACCTACTTGTTTTCTAACATCATGAATTGATGAATTAACTATGTTCATAGCCCACTTATCACTTCTACATACTGGAAGAGTAATGTAATCAATTAATTAGCATCCTATCACTATTTCATTAAGTATCAAAGGCTTTTATGACAATTGCATCTCAATATATTTAGCTTTAACATAAAAATTTTTTGTCATACACACAATAAGAAAACTAATTAGTGTTTGTAAGTGAAAAACATTTAATTTACAATTAAATTTTCTTTTTATCATGCATAAAATAAAATTTATTATGAGTATACAAATGTACTCCAGGATAAAGTAACAGTATTTTTTTAATACTATTTGGTTAGAAAGCAGTACAATTCAATAAAAAATGCCACACCTGAAAGTTCTGTATAAAAGTTTTCTCTACAAATCTGTAGAAAAGTCCACCTTTCGAAAGTGCTTGGGTTATAGGGTATAGTATCTTTGTGTCGTCAATATTATTACCTTGGACATTAGACGCATTGACTCTTTTAATATAGATATACATGTGATATATGTCTAAAATGTAAAATAAAGTACAAAGAATATGAAACCTGATTCCATAATTCCATTCCTCATCTAAAATTTCATTATACGAACAGGCTCAATTACAAAATATGTTTTGTAAAAACATTGACTTGATATATATTTAAACATCCACAAAGTATTGATAGTATTATTTTCAGATATTTTGCTGAGTAAGAGAACGATTACTTATTCCTGTACCAAAAGTAACCAGTTTTGAAAAGATGGAAGTAAAATTCCCAAGACTGTAACTATAAAATATACAAGTTTATAAGCAAGTAATGGTACTTGTTTTGCTAACTTGTACAGTACAGCAAAATATTTTGTAAGCTATGGTTTTCTTGCTACTCAGAAATACATAGAATTAAACTTTTGTCCTTATAAAATATGTTTGAAAAACAGATATGATAATTTCTTGTTCGATGCCAACAAAACTCGAAGGTGTCAAAGTATGATCTTTCAGGAGACCAAAGTAAAAGTGCCAAAGAAGGTTCTATTAAAGTACTAATTATTTCTTAAGAGTTAAAATTTTTTGTGCCTTTTTCTTAATATAAAAGCAAATGTGAGGATGCTTTGACTGGTTAGTTGTTAATCTAACAATGTGAAAAATTCCAAAAATACACAATATCTCCAACATGATTTAATTTTTTAATTTATGTTCACCAACAACTAATTTGGCATCAATTAGTTAACAATAAATATTCAGGCTACCAAAACTACAAGAGCAAAACATCACAGCAGAAGCAATTAAAAATTATTTTTTATTATTAAAATTATTATCTCTTTATAATAGCAATTAAATACACTCGTTATAAATTGTGAATTTTCATTGAACAATCTGATTAGTGATGCACATTTTTTAAGATACAGATTATAATAATGATAATATCAGACTATGCATTAGTTGCACACAACTGAAACTATACTGAATAGAATATCAATTAACACCCGACCTTCAAGGCATGTAGCGCACAACAGAATATATCACATTAACACAATAATAACTATTAACTCTCCAACTATGAGCTGTCCCAGGGACCGACCTCGTAATTATTTTGTGCTTGTTATAGTTTTCATACTATTACTTTAATATCTTCATGAAATTTCGCAACTATGAGTAAAAAATTACAAGGCTTTCGTACACAAAATATCAGATTTTTTGTATTAAGTTTTAAGATTTTCTTAAGTAATGATTTGTAAAGTAATTTTGATTTGAAGATATAAAATAATTTTATGCATCAGAAAATTGTCAAATTTCACATGCAAAAATCTTTATAACCTTCTAATAACCTCCAGATAATTAACAAACTTTTGTTTTAGAAAAACATTATTTTATCTGTTACTTTCACTATTGTATCTATGTATGGGTTTGGTTGATTTGATCGACTTCGTAACCACCATAAAAAATTAGAATACAAATTATGCTTTTTTGTTCCAGGATGACTACAGTTATAACACGAAAACACAAATGTTTAGACTAAATAGCTTAAATCTCATAACATTATACATTTATATATATTTATTATATTCACCTTCCAGTCATGCTTGGTTAACATGACAGAAATTGCACATGTGCACTCATGTTACCGTAACCAAGAATATAAAACCGGCCTTTACAAAGTGACCCGTGTTGGTTGTGTTTTAGTGGACTAGTATTTTGTGAAATACATTCACATTTCAGTTATAATACATTATATATATATTGTTATTACTAATTACAAAATAAGTACTTAAAATCTCAGTTATTTTTCTTAAAAACAGTAAATAAAGAAATATAGAAAAACAATGATCTCTACTATATACGATTGTAAAGAAGTTTTTACACGCTTACCGTACCCGGCATGCTAAGCCTTGCCAAATTTTACAAGTGGAGGATGTACAACAAAATAATTTTTTTTAGGTTTTATACATATATATATATATATATATATATATATATATATATATATATATAATAAATAAATAATAATATA